GTTTTTCTTTAGTTCTTTCACTTCAAGAAATGCTGAGTGTGTTCTTCTCTTTGGTTTTCTAACGCCAGGTGTTTACATTTCATTATAATACCTGTTTTTGTCTTCTCGAACTGCCTTTTTAAATTTTCTATTCCGCTCTTTGATGCTCTCATTTCATCCATTTACTTTAGAATCTCTACACTGGAGAGTAAGTTTTAAAGTTTCTTCTGACATCCTCTTTGGTCTTTTCTGTCTTTTTAAAGACCTTTTGCTTTATTCCTGTATTGTGTCCTTGATGTCATCTTTGGTCATGACTACATAATGCAACATCTCTCTTCTTGAGATGTTCTTTAAATTCAAGTGGTATATGTTCAAGGACCTGTTTTGATTCTCAAGGATTTGTTATAGTTTTTTTCAGGTTCAGTATAAATTTGAATATGAGTAATTGATGGTATATTCCACAGTCATCCCCTGGCCTTGGTTTGACTTACGATATTGAATTTTTACACCATCTCTTTCTACAGATGTAGTCAATTTGATTCCTCTGTATTCCACCCTGTGAGGTAAATGTGTATAATAAATAGCTTTTTATGCTGTTTTAAAATGACATTTGCAATGAATAATTCATTGGTCTTGCAAAATTCTGTGATGTTATCTCCAGCATCAGTTTGATCAAGACTATATTTTCCTTGCTGATCCTTTCTTTGTTTCCAAGTCACCAGTAGTTATCAATATATCTTGATTGCATTTTGCATCAATTTTAGACTGATGAAGTTGGTAGACTTCTTCAATTTCATTATCCAAACTGGCTTTAGTGGTTATTGCATAAATTTTAATAATAGTAGTATTAACTGGTCTTCCTAGAATAGATATTATCCTATCACAGAAAACATTTTACTTCAAAGTCATGAAATGTTCTTTCTGTTGAGTCGTATGCCATTCCTCTTGAAATTATCATTTCCTCCATAGTAAATCATATGATTGGAAGATTCAAAATTGCTATTACCAGTCCATTTCAGTTCATAAATGCCTAGGAGATTGATGTCTATGCATTCATTTCATTCTTGGCAATTTCCAATTTTCCTACAGTCATACTTTGAACATTCCATTTTATGATTATTAATGGATGTTTGCAGCTGTTTCTTCTCATTTTGAGTAGTGCCTCATCAGCAAATGAAAGTCCCAGAATCTTTACTCCATTCATGTCATCACAACTCTACTTTGAGGAGGAAGCTCTTCCCAAGTTGTATGTTAAGTGTCTTTCAACCAGAAGAGCTGATTTTCTGGCACTATATCTGAGAATATTCTGGTGCTATTCATTGTGTTGGAGTCCTGGTGTGGTGCTGTGGGTTAAGGCATTGGATTGCAAAGTCAGTTTGAACCATAAGTTTGTAATTCAAGCTCACGAACTGCTCCTGAGAAACCCTATACAGGATCACTATTGGTTAGAACTGACTCGACAGTACTTAAGAACAACAAACCAACCTTACGTATCCAATAGTGCCACACCAGGACTCCACAGGGTTTTATCCATTGGCTCCAATCTGATGGTACTTAACAGTGACATTCATAATGTTTTCATTTTTTTGGAATTAAATCAGACAGTGTTCCACTGCTAGTCATGTGGTTTCCAGTGGCTAAACAATCCTCTTCTTCTTCCTAGTATGCCTTAGGCTGTAAGGTGCACTGAAATTTGTCCATCATGGTCATGGTGGTATTTAAAATATAGAGGCATATCTTCCAGCATCACAGCAATGCACAAGTCACCGTATAGGATGTTACATTCTGGTATAAAAGAAAAAATAAGCTATAAAAAATGTAAACTTATATTGTTGTTTTTGTTGTTAAGTGCTGTTGAGTCAGAGTTACCCTGTATGCACCCAGCATTATAATCTCAATATATAAAACCTCCAATTACAGACTTACAGAGAGGTATAGATCAGTCTATTATTGTAGTTAACATTTTTAGTGTAACACTCACAGAAACTAATAGATCAAGCAGACAAAAATAAAGATAAGGAAAATCTAAGAATGCAAATAAATAATTATTTTATAGATACTTTGTTGTTGTTAGGTGCTTTCGAGTCAGTAGTGACCCATAGCAACTCTGTGTGCAACAGAATGAAACATTGCCAAATCCTGTACCCATCTCACAATCTTTGCTACACCTGAGCCCACTGCTACTGCCACTGTGCAAATCCATCTAGTTGGGGGTTCTCTCATCTTTTTCTCTGACCTTCCACTTTATAAAATATGATTTCCATTTCCATGGATTGGCCCCTACCAATAATACATCAGAAAGATGAGAGACGAAGTCTGGCCATCCTGACCTCAAGGGAACATTCTGCCTGTACTTTTTCCAACACAGATCTGTTTGTTCTTTTGGCAGTCAATAGCACTTCTAATATTATCCTCCAACACCATAACTCAAATGTATCAGTTCTTCTATGGTCTTCCTTATTCACTATCCAACTTTTGCATGCATATGATGTTATTGAAAATACCCTGACATGGGTCAGGTACACCTTAGTCCTCAAACTGACATCTTTGCTCTTGAACAAAAAGACTTGAACAGGTCTTGTGCAGCAGATTTGCCTAATGCCATAAGTCATTTTATTTCTTGACTGCCGCTTCCATCAGTGTTGATGGTTGATGAGAGAAAAATGAATCTTTGACAACTTCCATCTTTTCTCTATTGATAAGGATGTTGTTTATTGGTCCAGTGGTGATGATTTTGGTTTTATTTACATTGAAATGCAACAAATACTAAAGGCTGTGGTCTTTGATCTTATTCAGTAAGTATTTTAAGTCCTCTTTGCTTTCAGCAAGCAAGGTTGTATCATATACATATTACAGGTTGTTAATGAGCCTTCCTCCAATCTTGATACCACATTTTTCTTCATATAACCCAGCTTAATATAATTCAGTTTCTCACATTATGTGGTCAGAAAACAGATTGAGTAAGTATAGTGAAAGAATACAACCTTAGTACACACCATTCCTAATTTTAAATTCTATTGGAATAACTCCCTTTTGGTCTAGCTATAGATTCCTCATGAGCACAATTAAGTGTTCTGGAATACTTATTATTCACAATGTTATCCATACAACCAAAAACATTTGCATAGTCAACAAAGCACAGGTAAACATCTTTCTTGTATTCTCTCCTTTCAGCCAAGATCCATCTGGCATCAGTAATGATATCCCTCTTCTGAATCCAGCTTGATCCTCTGGAAGTTCTCTGTAAATGTATGTTTTCAGCCATTATTGTATTATCTTTAGTAAAACTTTACTTGCATGGGGTATCAATGATATTGTCTGATGATATGTGTATTCCCTTGGGTCACCCCTCATTAGCATGGGCATAAATATGGATCTCTTTTAATTAGTTGACCAGGTAGTTTGTCTTCCAAATTTCTGGGCATAGATGAATGTGTTCTTCAGTAGTTTCATCCATTTGTTGAAAGTTTTCAATTTGTAATCCATGTATTCCTGGTGCCTTGTTCTTTGCCAGTGCCTTCAGTACACCTTGGACTTCTTCCTTCAGGATCATTGGCTCTTGTTCATATACTACCTCTTGAAATGGATAGTGACCATTTCTTTTAGTTCAGTGACCTGTATTCCTTCTATCTTTTTTTTTTTTTTTTTTTTTTTTTTTTTATGAATGTGTTCACCTTTATTTCTTTTAATCTCTACTTGTGATACAGACATTCCACACATAACAGGATTAAATGGTTTGTGAAGGTTTCATGTAAGCCTGAGACAGAATCAAATCTAAGATAGTATGTAGTCACCTACTAACTTATAAATAAGAAGACTCCTAGAAAATTCACCATCATCATTGTGGGAGGAATGGCTCCAGTGTGGTTTACATTAAAAAGTTTAGAGAAGAAGGCCTGGGATTACTGTGATTGTAGTCTTCATTCTCAGTAGTCAGTTGTGGATTGGTTTCTTGGACTTCTTGCAGCAGCTTTTGCATGTGAGTATTAAATGGATCTATCTTTAACCTAAGTTGAGTTAGGGAACAATTGTGTTGCTTCAAGACTTCACACAACATCTTTATCCCATTATGCCCCAAATAATTCTAATCCAGTTCCACAGTAGTCAGGCTTTGGTTGCATTTCAGGGCAGACGAGAAGTCCATGCAACTGAAAGGTACCAGAGAGTATCCCCACAACCAGAGACATTTCAGGTTGCATACTGGATCCTTCAAGGTCTCATACAGAAAAATCAGCCCTGTAACTGATATGTAATTTTGCCCCAAATCCAAGTGTGTTTGGCTTGACATTTTTTGGAGAAACCTTGAGAGACGATTGCAGCCATTGTCTGTTATATTACAGCTCCACAGGGTCAGATTTTTCAGTCTTTTGATTACAGAAAACAGTGCAGAATTTCCCATAAGCTTCGGCAGGTGAGACATTGTTGAGCGCCACCTTCTGGAGATTGTGTGTGTTGAAGGCTAAGCAATCAGAAAGAATCATCATTGCATAGTCATTCCGGAAGCTGTGATTGATGTCCAGAGACACCAACCAGGCTCTTGTTTGAACTGAAGGTGACACACAAGTCCATCCATGTAGAATGAAGGTGTTGCTCCTTCTTATACTTCTCAACCTCAGAGTCTGAGTTCAAGGATTTATTCTCCAGAAGCATCTGCTTTATGTTCAGTGAAAGCATCTGCAGATTTTGACACTTAAGGCAGAAAGCAGCATGCACCATGTCAGTTTAATTTTTCAAGTTTAGAGACAGTTTGTTAAAATGGGCCATTCCTTTTTCACAAATTCCTCCTCCTGAGATTCATAGAGGCAGCAGAAAATCTCCTTCATGGTGATCAATAAGAAGGTCTTGCTCTTATTGGACTTCACTTTCCGTTTGAGTAATTCCTCTTTGACCCTGCTTGACACTTTGTAGCCAAGCTTTGTCTGTAGCTCCTTGGCACTGTTTTTGTTCAAGAAGCCAAATAAGAAGTATCCAAGCTGGGTCAGGTTGGGGTTCTTCAGTAGTTCTTCAGTGGAGAACAGCTTTTATATATCCCCAGTGTTCCTCCTGTGGTTATCCTGGTCTTTCTCCTCACTCCGTAGAATGTAAAATATGGCAGCAAGGAACTGCTGGATATTGACATGGACAAAGGAGTAGTAGTTTTCATTGTCTTTGTCTGTCTAAAGTATATTTCCCAGGAAAGTGATAATTTCAGATTCTTTCACACCAAGTCTATTGAAATTTTCCCTTTCAAATACAGATGTGTATGTCCATACACCCCAAGCTGTCAGGAGACATAGAGCTTTCAGTGAGTCTTGGAAACTCCAACTGGGGCAAGTGACAGGTACCTGTGAGAAGTGGCTACAGAGACAATGCAGATATAGTGATGTGGTGGTTTGGCAAGTGGGGGTAGGGTCCTCTCTTTTCTCCAACTGCAGCTTCAGAATTATAAAGACAACCCAACACACCATGGGTGTTGAACACATATGGAACAAAGCTGCATTGCTCTTTGTCAAGTCAAAGGCTCTCATTGATTCATATTCATCTTGGAAGTATTTTAAGAAATATTCCTTCCTGTCCATTTCCAAGAATCCTTCAATTTCTAGGAAGACAAGAGGCTCTTGTATCATGAGTCAGAGTTTCCTCAGCGCCCAACTTGGGAGTTACTTTGGGGAAGGTTTTTTCACTAGCAAACAAATCAAGAAGATGGGCACTTGTTTCTGTGTCTTCAAATCATCACATAGATCATGGGTCAGCACTCTAGGAGAATAGCTTAGCTCATCAAAGTCAACAAGGATGATCACGGCATTTTGTTCCTGGGCTATCACCCCAGCTAGGTGTCTTCCAACTCAGGACAGTCCTTGGCAATCAACTCAGAACAATTGCATGGTCCCATCTGGCTGAGTTCCTTGCAGTTGAGATAGAAAATATATTGGAATTTCCTTGCAAGGTTGCTAACTGTACAGTTCATCTTCAACTTTTGACCAGTTTGCTTTTCCCAATACCAGCAGTCCTGTGCAGCACCATTGTTTGGGGGAATGGCCCCCAAAGCTTTTTAGGATTACAGAATGGACAATGGCTTATATCTCTCAGTTACAATCCAAAATTTTCCAGTGGATTCAGGGTAAAAGTTGTTCTTACAGGTTTGCTCAAACTTGTTCTTCAATGCATTTCTATACTCATGTGTTTTAATTGTCTCTTTTCATATAATATACTGTGTTACTTCTAAGTTGGTGGGATCTTTTACCTTTGTAAGTGAGTGGTTTCATGCTTGACACAAAAGTTATAACAACGTGTTCAAATGTATCAACTGTCATGAAGATGGCACAGAACTGGGCAACTTTTTTTTGTTATACACAATGTCAGAGCTGACTAAATGATAATTACCACCAATAATCCAAGAATGATCAATAAGTGAGCTTAGGCTAGTTATGTACTTGTAAATATGTGTCAGTGTTTTTATCTTGGCTATTCAGCAAAAATATCAATAATCTGAACTTCCAAAATCTGAGAAGAATGCCTTAACACATGCATAACTTGCTAAGAGTTGAATTCCAATTTACTCCAATGTCCAGTTTGCCTTCTATTCTTGTGGGAAGTGAGCATTCTCCATGAAAAAAACTGACCAGTAAAATGAGATTTGAGAGAGATGGAATTCCCAAGAGGAGTAGGAAAGGGCAGTAAAAATGGGTCTGTTTAATTTAGCTTACTCAGAATTTGACACTCTATAACCAGCCTGGCTCTAATTTTCGCAGCTCTTCTGTGTCTTCCCAGTTTGATCTTTTTGGTTCTGAAGTCAGTATCATCTGCATTAATGAGGACTTTATTTCATGAAGAGATTTCATAGCCAATTCTTGGATTTCATCCATGGCTTTCTTAGATCAACCCAGTTCATTTTGTCAAGAATCTGGTTGGTCACCAGTACATGTGGTAGCTATTGAGAATTTCTGCCAGTTGCTTCCTATTGGCACCATCGATCTCAAACTTTGTGATCTCCTGCTGGTGAACTATACTTTGCTGGGGTAGGGACTTCAGTAGAGATTTGAACTAACCCAACTCATCCTTGTTAAGCTCTTCTACAAGAGGCTGCAGGTAGAAACCCATGCATGGATGCTCTATCTTGTCCTGTTAAGGACACCTTTCCCCACAGCTTGGTCAAAGGATTGTGCATTTATACTCCTTCCATATTCTTTTGATACTTTCTGCATCATTCAATATTTTGTACATAAAATCCTTGAATACAGCAAGTCAAGTTTCTTTTTTTTTTTTTTTCCCAGTTCGATCATCTTGAGAAATCCTGAGTCTATTCTTCTCTTTTGGTTTTCTAACTCCAGTTCTTTGCACATTCATTCCTTATAATATTTAAATTTGTCTTCTTGAAATGATCTTAGAAATTTTCTGACCAGTTCTTGCACCTCTTAATTCTTCAATTTTCTGTAGCATCTCTACACTGGAGAGCAAGTTTTAGGGTGTCTTCTGCCATTTACTTTGGTCTTTTCCTTTTTTTGTGTCTTCTTAATGAACTTTAGCATTCTTCCTGTAAAATAATCTTGATGTCATCCCACAACTCTTCTGGTCACTGGTCTTTTTCATTTAATATATCAAGTTGGTTTCATAGATGATCTCTTAATTAAGGTGTAATATATTCAAGATCATATTTTGGCTCTCATGGACCTGTTTTCATTTACTTCAGCTTCAGCCAGAATGTTCATATAAGCAATTGATGGTCTGTTTCACAGTCTGCCCCTGGCTTTCTTTTGTCTGATGATATGGAGCTTTTCCACCATCTCTTCCTACATATGTAGTCAATTTGATTTTTGTGTACTACATTTTCTGAGGTCCATATGTATAGTTGTGTTTTAAGTAGATTTAAAAAGATATTTGCAGACGTCAACTTTGGAGGCAGGAGAAGCAGAATCAGGTAGGACAGGCTCCTTGGGGGAGACATGGAAAAAACAGAGAAGGTGCTTTCATGGAGCAGATCCAGAGCTCTGGATCTAGTATAAGGTACAGGGCATCAGTTTCCCACACCCATCAGTGGGAAAATCTTGTAGAAAGGAAAATACTGTGATCTTAGTTGATCCAGATTCAGGACTCTCCCTGCAGCCACTCCGCCCAGGCTGAGATCAGAGGGTGGGGCCATAGCCAGACTGATACAGTGATACAACCCTAAAAACCATACAGCATCATTTAATAAAAGAGGTGTGCGATAGTCTACACATTTCTTTCATCCTCTCCCCTATTGTACCCTATCTGCCTAGCCTGGACACCATAAGGTGGGTGGGAGTGCACCCCCAAAATGGTCCAGCATTGAGCCCAGTTTTCCCATGGCACAGAGAGGATGGGCCCCGTTGGTCCCACGGGATGCTCATTTGGTGGCTGCTTATATCATCTGCCTCTGGGTTATTGTTGTTATGTGCCATGGAGTCAGTTCTGACTCATAGCAACCCTGTACAGGGTTTCCAAGGTTGTAAATCTTTATGGAAGCAGAAAGCCTCATCTTTCTCTCACAGAATAGCTGGTAGTTTTGAACTGCTCACCCTGAGGTTAGGAGCCCAATTCGTAACCACTACATGACTCTGGGACCCAGACCTAAAGTTGACCTGGGCAGGACCCTTTATTCTTGCCTACCCAGCAAGAAAAAGCAGGTCTGGCCATACAAACAAACCATATGTACACTACGTAAAATCCCAACATAAAAGGCAAGAGCCAACACCAACTACTACACACAAGGACACAGCTATTTTGAGAATTATGCTGTGCACACACAAATATCTAACGTATCTTCAAAGATAAAAATAGTGGACAATCTTTCTCCCATTAATTTCTCTATATTTATATGTGCACCTCTAGGGTGGTGACTAGAGTGGGGGCCTGAGTGAGTAGACACCTCTACCCACTGCTGGAGGTTTCTACTGTCCATGTACACTGAACTGCACAGCAAAGGATACTGGTCAATCAGCTATGGTTTTATTTTTGTTTTTGAGTGATGGTTTTGTCTCTGTTTCTGTTTTTTTTGGCCTTTTGATCACACTTTTTCCCTGGGAGGTGGGAGCTTTCTCTCCCTATGTTACTCAAGAAGACACAGAAATTGTGGCCATATAGCCAAACTACAAGCATACCCCATAATATCCCACCATTGGGACAGGAGCCAATACAGCTGCTAGGCATTGCACATAAAAAAGAGAAGCCTATCTCCAGATTACCTCCACCAGGAGACACTTAAAGCTTAACAACACAGCAACATACATTCATTTAATCATTGAAAATGCACCAAACCACTGAAAATGTCCAAGAAAAAGCAACAAAATATTTCAGCACATGTCCCAAAACAGAAAAGAGTAATTGAGACAAATGAACTTGAGGCAGACATAGACTTTCCACAAGAAGAAGAGCAGGCTTTGGATTTGCCTGAGAAGGAATTCAGAAGAATGATATGGAGACAAATTCAAATGCTTCACAGAGGAGTGGAGGAAAATAATGAAGAAGTCAGGAAAGTGCTACAGGAGCTATCAAATAAGATAGATATAGTATTGGAAAAAATTAAAACCTGAAAAAGGAAGTCCAGATGATTAATAGTAAAATATCAGAAATAAACAATAAACTGAAAAGACAAAAGAGAAAAACTTAAGAGATGGAAGGCAGAACCAGTGAGCTGGAAGACAAATCTCTCAATAAAGCTAAGATAGAAGTGCAAGTGGAAAGGATAAAAAAAAATCTGAAGAGAGTCTAAGATTCATGCTGGATAACAGGAAGAGGAATAACTCAAGAATGATTGGCATTCCAGAACAGGAAGAATCACAGAAGTCCACAGAAAAGATCATTTAAGAGCTACTAGAAGAAAACTTCCCTACCATCATGAAGGATGAGAAGATAAACATTCAAGAAATCAATCATACCCCAGGAAGGACAGACCCCAAAAGAAAAACATCAGGACATATCATAATCAAGCTCTCCAAAATCAAAGAAAAGTAGAGAATCCTAAAAGTGACCAGGGGAAAGAGAAGTGTTACTTACAAAGGCAAGCAAATCAGATTAAACTCTGACTTCCAAGCAGAAACCATGCAGGCAAGAAGGCAATGAGGAAACATATATAAAACCCTAAAAAAAAAAAAAAAAAAAAAAAATCTGCCAACCAAGATTCGTCTATCCAGCAAAACTGTCAATCAAATACAATATGGCAGTCAAAACATTCCAGGATAAACCAAAGCTAAAAGAGTTTTTCAAAGACAATCCAGCACTTCAAAACATCCTAAAGGGAGTTCTTTGAACTGAAAATCAACAAGAACAGACAACAGCTAGTGATTGACAAATGAGGCAAAACCATCCGTAACTCAGACGAAAGATAATAGAGTCGAGAACAGAACAAATTTACAACAACGAATTCAAAGGAGCTGGGAGGTCAACTGAAGATCAAAATAATAACAATATCAAAAAAGGGAAATATATCGAGCAGAGACCCAGGTGGTGAGGAGGTCAGGTAAATTGCAGGATACAATAGACTGTCTTAAATAGACGGAAAGTTAATTGACTATAGAGTAACCCCAAAGAATGTTAATATTTCACAACTTACCATGAAAATGAAGATCCAAGCAGAACAAAGGAATATTAAAATTAAGACAAAACTGAC